TCTAGGGACCAACTGTGTGCAGGCATCATGTTCTGTCTCTGAGACTTCAGTCCTGACTTGAAATACATTAAAATTACAAAGAAGTTTTACTATTTTGAAATTAGCTTGTGTTAATAATGTCAATTTCATGCAGTTAGAAATATTGGCTTGAATATACAACACTCTGCAGTGTTCGTTCCACTCAGTATTTGGTAAAACATGCCAATTACTCCAAGCATTTTCATATCCATCCAGTGCAGTCTTGACATGATCCGACAGCTTGACTCCTAGCATTAGGCACACACATGCACAAAGCATTTTCTATTTTATTATTTTCTCTGTGTGTGTACCATCAAATTGGATCTGATTAGGAGATGTCCCCTCCTTCCCCGGCAGAGCTTCTGGTGGATTCGAACCACATATCTCTGGGACAAAGCGTTTTCTAAAGTACAGGGATCACTAGCTTTGCTTTACATATTTTTCCTGCCCCATATGTAAATCAAAATATCCTGCTACTCTCTTTTACTGTTGGGAGCTGCCACTGAGCTGACCCCATTCATTGCAGGAAACTCAGCCCAGTCCTGGGATGTCTACACAATCAGTTACATACAGTTAGTTGGTTAAAAACAGTAATTCCCTTGGGAATCTCTGATGGCCTCTTTCTTTGGAGGATTTCACAGCATAAATGAAAACCTTCTAAATAATCTAATCAGCAGGCAGTTACGATGGGTGAAGAATTTAAGGCTTTGGGATTCATGACCAGAGTTTTATGGGCCAGGTCGGAGAATACTGTGCTATCTCTGGGTGATAGAACATCAAGACAGAGAAGAACAAAGAGCTATCTCATGAGAAACCAAAGGGAGAATGGTGTACACATTCCTGCCATTCCTGCCATTCCTGCAGGGAGGTGCAGTCTGATTCCTGCCACTCAGCTGTCTGTCCACAGAGGTATGCACGCACTAGGACTCTGAACAGGTCTCAGTGGAGCGTCCAGACCAAGATGGACTAGGGGGAAAGGGCAGAGATCGGCTGCTGAGAACACCAAGGACTGTAACAATCCTATTGATCATGAGGACTGTACAGTATCAGGTAGTATTTTGTTCGACTGTACAGGTGGGTGAAGGTGGCTAAGAACAACAGTAAGAACCGAAAGCAGTGCAACTCTTGGAAATATTTCTGTTGCTTTGTGCCAGAAAGTTCTACTTCTTTCTTTTCCTTCCACAGGAACCCAGCTAGGACACAAGGACACAATAAAATAATGCAGCCCTAAAAAGTCAAAGAAAATTTCAGAATCTATTCAAAGAGCAAGTCTATCACTTGACAAAACTGTTTCTGTCTAGACATATAGGACTATGAACTCTGAAAACAGATGGAAATACTCAAGTTTAGATAAGACACTGTAGAGAATGAATTGGCCAATCCAGAGGAGAAAAGTTTAGATGTACAGTTACAGCTAATCACAGCTACAGCTAAGGTGCATGTCATTTCTGGAGTCAGCAACACACCTGGCGCTGCACAATGTGGCAGCCTCACAGACATCAATGAACTCTAACAGGGACCTTCTCTCAGCCTTTGTCTTACTCTTGGTCCTTGATGTCGTTGAGGCTGGAGTTGCAAGTAAGGGTGAAAAAGTAAGTCCAGCAGAAAAATGTGGTAACAAGACAAAATGTTTCGTGTTCTTTTCAGATTGTTTCCAAAAGATGAGCAAAACAAAGAGAACCTTTTATTCTGTATTTGTGCCCAAATATGATGTCCTGTCAAAGTAGTACATATACAGCTAGAAACGGCATCGAAAATAAGGAGAAGCCTGTTTTAAGAGATTCCCAAACTAACATCTATTACCTCAATAACTCTGACACATGATTCTATAAAGATTAGGTAAATAGTTCTATAAAGATTTGATTAGGCTAAAGAATAATAAAAAGTCCTATTAAGAGTTAGAGTTGAGGTTGTCAGATGCCATTGCGTGAGCGCAGATGCACAGTGATTCTATCTCAAACAGGACGAAACCCTGTCGGGCGGTGCCCCGTCCTCACAGTCATGCATGAGCCCACTGTTGTGACCCCTGTATCATCCATCTCGCTGAGTCTTCCTCTTCTTCCACGGACTCCCTGCTTCACTAAGGATGAGGACCCTCTGCAGGGACTGTTCCCACCTGACAATACATCCAAAGTGTTTGAGACAAAGCCTTGCCCTATTTGCTTCTAAGCAGCATTACGGTTGCATTCCTTCCAAGACAGATGTGTTCCCTCATCTAGCACTCTGAGGTATAGTCAATATCCTTCAGCATCACCACAGTGTAACGACGTAATTCTTCTTCACTCTTTCTTACGGTTGTCAACACCTCTAGCATTACATTCATTTGTTGAGACATCTCACAGATACTCTAGAAATTCCTGGACTGCTACTGGCCAGGCCACTCTGAATCAGACAAGCATATGGTCGACTATGCCCGAAGAAGAATAGCATTACAATCATCATCAACAAAAACACCTCAGGATCATACTTCAACCTCTATCCTGAAGCACAGTGTTGTCAGTCGCAGGATCGTATCTGTTCACCTACAGGGAAGGCCAGTTAACATGACTATTATTACAATTTATGGACCAAGTACTAGCAACAAGATGACAAGTCTGAAAATTTTAACAACTTTGGCAATCTGAAATTGATCAAACACACAATCAAGATGCACTGATAATTACCAGTAACTGGACAGGAAAAATGGAAACAAAGAAGGATCAGAAGTTGGAAAATACAGTGTTGATAGAAACGATAGCAGAGATTGCATAACAGAACTTTGTAACAGGAAATATCTATCCATTAGAAAGATTTTAACTTGGCCATGACAAGATGGAAATCAAATCAACTACAACTGTGGCATAAGATGGTACAGAAAGAAGCTCAGCATGATTAGTCAGATGGGAGTTCTGGTGCCCTAGTGGCAAGAAGCTGCACTGCAATCCCAAAGGTGAGTGGTTCGAATCCACCAGATGCTCTGGTGGAGAAGGAGGGGCAACCTCCTCCTGTGCCAGTCGGATCTGATTTGACAGTACACAACAAGAAAAATTAAATAAAAATAAAGGTTTTTTAAAAAATATGATCAGTTAGAACAAGGCCAACTAAAGAACAGATCATTAATTATCTACATGCAAACTGAAGCTGAAATTGAAGAAAATGACAACAAATCTATTGAGAGACAAAGAAAGCATGGCCTTGAAAGTGTATCTCACTTGAATTTAGAGATTATCTCAAGATTAGATTTGGTACATTGAACGCTAATAATTTACAGCCAGGAAAGTTGTGGGATGGCATCAAGGACATAATACATCAAAAAAGTAGAGTCATGGAGAAAACAGAAGTAAAGATAAGACTTAAATGGGTATTTGAAGAGACTCTGAAACTTCCTGTCCAATGCAAAGCTGCTAAAGCTAAGAGAAGAAGAGATGGAGTCAAAGAGATTCCCAGGATTCAAAGGATAACTGGAGAAAACAAAGCAAAGAATTATAAAGAAATATGCAAAGACACAGTTAGAAATCCAAAAACGAAGAACACACTAGGCATTTCATAAGCTGAAATAACTGAAGCGGTGGGGGATAAATTAAGCCTTGAGTTGTATGCAATACTGCAAAACTCGAGGTAAAATATTGAACGATGTAGAACTAAATATGGAAGGAATCCAAAGAAAGAATGTACCAAAAAGAACCTGTAAACACATAACACATTTCAGGAGGTAGATGTGATCCAGAACCACAGTACTGAAGCAGGAAGACCAAGCTCTGAAGGTAGTGGCAGAAAACAAGCCTCAGCCAGCTGGCTAGATGCTAATGAAAATGTTTTAACCAGGGGATCAAACAGTGAAGGCACTCACTTGTCGGTGCTAAGATATTCAGAAGACAGCTATCTAGCCAATAGATGGGAAGAGATCCATATACATGTCTATTCCAAAGAAAAGTAATCTGACAGAATGCAGAAGTTATCACTGATACCACATTCATGTCAGAGTATGCTGAAGATAATTAAAAAACAGCTCTACCAGTACAGCAACAGGAAGCTCAGAAATTCATGCCAGAGTCATAAGCAAACTTGAATTAGGGCTGACGTCAAATTGGCTGAAAGCAGAGAAAATCAGAAAGATGTTTACCTGTTATATTGACTGTGCAAGGGCATTCAACTGTTGCATCATAATAGATAATATTATGAATCCTAAGAATTACAGAACACTTCATTGTGCTCATGGGGAACCCTCCAGTCAAACAGAGAGGCAGTTATCCAAAAGGATACTGCACGATATAAAATCAGGAAAGGCAGGTGTCAGAGCCGTATGTGTTGGCGAAATCTATTCCACCTGGGCGCCGAGCAAATAATCTGAGAAGCTGGACTCTATGAAGAAGACACTATATCAGCGAAGAAAGGAGACTCAATTAACAACCTGTGATATGCAGACAACACAATCGTCTCTGCCGAAAGTGAAAAGGACTTTGATAAAGATCAAAGACTCCAATTTTCAGTGTGTAAATCACGTCAACATCAAGAGAACAAAAATCCCAATAATTGGACCTGACCCGATGACATCTTACAACAAGGTTTTCTGAAGAGATACAGAAACAAAAGCTCAAGGTTACACAATTCGTCCTGAGATAGGCCTAACATTAGGGTCCTCTAATTTCTCAACTTGGTTTCCATTATAGTCACTAGAACTTGGAAAAAGGAAAAGTCAGAGAGGTCTATGACATATACTGATAATAAAAATAAACAGCTCTACACCAACTTTTACTTGTGGTTTAAATTTTACCCATTCTAAACTGAACAAATTTGAGGTCCTTTCTCAAGCCTTCTACCAAAACAAGTGAAAGAGGAAAGTTCAATATCATTACTACCACCACTAGGGTGGCATCAGTGATGGCCGTGTGGTCACGAGGATCCTTACAAGAGACTGCCACCAGTAACCACCAGAGATCGAGCTGGAGATGGGGACTCGAGGCCACTTTTTAATTCCTTTCGTCTCTGCCCACATCACTCACCTGCATGGATACTTCAGTGCGTAAGCAGCAGCCAGGAACCCACCTAGGTTGTGTCCGAGCAAGATCACTTTGTCTAACCCCAGAGCACATCTCCACTCTTCAATGGACTCCACAAACTGATTCTCCACTTCTTCTGCATCACTGTCAAACCTGGGTCTACTACTCCGTCCAAAACCCAACAGGTCAAATGCATAGACAGGCCTGTTGGTGCAAAGCTCTTCAAAGTTCAGTGCCCAGAGTCCAAGGCCTCCTCCAAAACCGTGGATGAGGACTAGTGGTGTCTTGTTTGGAATATCGTGAGATAATTTCAGTGTCCATATTTTATTTCCATTAGATATTTGAACAGGTTCTTTTTTGTATGAGCAGGGAACACCTAAAGAAAACACAGCAAAGATAAATTCTGCTTAGTTCAATGCTCTTGACGAAAGAGTGTATCCTCCAAGAAATTGTGGAAAAAATTTCTTATCTAGAAACTATGAGGTAGCCACATGTATGGTTCTCACTTTTATTAATTTGTATTTAATTGAAAGAATAAATCTCTAATTAAAGGGGATTGTTGCTGACATCAGATGAATCGTGGCTAAAAACAGAGAAAACCAGTCAGTTTTACTGACTACACAAAGGCATTCAATGGTTCAGAATAAAGAATGGGTAACACTATGAATAATAACAGAACATTTAATGTGTTCATGGGAAACCTGCAGTCAGACTGAGAGGTAGCTATTCTAAACAAAAGGCCTCGGCACGATTTAACATCAGGAAAGGTACATATCGGAGTTAAATGCCTTTGTCAGACCTATTTAGTCTATAAGCTGATCAAGTAACTCTTCACTGTTATGTTGGCCATCTAAATGGGAAGTGCTTCCTCCCATTTCTCAGGCTGGCAAGTCATGGTGCTACTTTGGACTTCTTTCCACACCTATCAAATGACTCTATTATATTCTAAGAACTAGACATGAAGTTGGTGGTCACTACATGCATTATTTGAAGGTCTCTAGATTTGCAGACAATCACAAAACTACAAAACCTTGACTTTACAGATTAAACATTGAAGTATGAAGGGACAAGTTTTTACTATTTTCCTCTTAGAAATACTCATTAGTTCAGGGGACTGTGAACAGTAATTGCTCTGGCAGCCTCTTTTGCAGGGAGTCGTGCTGCTAATCCAGAGCCCACGCCTCTCTGGAGGTTCGGATCTAGCAGTGGTTCCAGTCGGGAAAGATGAGAAATATCCTCTCACTCAGTTTACAGCCTTCAGAAACCCTCAGGACGGTCAGCTATGAGTCAGTTCCGAATCTACAGCAACGAGTAAGCGGAGTATCAAATACATAACTCAAGTCAGTCATTTCAAAGCTTAGTGGAAGAATGTCAGCAAGATATACTAGGAAACTCACCAGCATGAAGAACCAGGCAACCTGATTCACGTCTCAGAGTTTCCCTAAAATTTGCAAATAACTAAACCTGTAGATAAAAATTCTTATCTAAAAAAAAAGAAATAAAAAAAATTCATATGTGTTTTCAATGTTGTGGTACTAAATACTTTTAAACTCCAAGAAAATAAAACAGGACTGAAGACTAAACTAATTTAAAAGAATTTACATAAAATTATCACAACTACATAGCTACTTATGATGCACATTTTGAGTACTGGTGCATATTCATCTGCAGTGGACAAAACAGAGGAGAATCGGAGGTTTTTTCCCCTTTAAACTGAAGCAGCAGTCTCAGATTTTGTGTCCAGCTAATGGCTACAATGAGGCAGACTGACACTGTTACTTCAGCAAAGAGCTCTTAGGTGTTGAGAAGAATGGGGATGAAACAGGATAGAGCAGAGTTCAGACTGGCTGTTCATACCCTCACTGAGTCTTACTTGATGAATCTAACAACAATGATGGCTACAAAAAAGAAACCTGGTATCAATTTAGAATATTAACAAAGTCCACTGTCTCAAATGGGAAAATACTATCAGCTTAGCAAAGGAGAAGATTTAGCATTAGTACCAAAGGGGCCACGTCAGTCTTCAAGTATACAAGTGTATATTCCCATAAAAACCGTCAGTGGCACTGATGACAGAGTCATCCCCCTGTACTGACTGACCTTCGTGGTTCACCCTGGAGTCAGGGCTATGTCTCACTCCCATCTTCATCCATGTGTGGTTGCTGTCAGGAGCCACGGAGTCAGCTCTGACTCACAGCAACGCCACATCCAACAGAAGAACACACCGAACAAGGGAGCGCTACCCTCACAACGCTGACAAATACTGATCACGTCACAGACTGCCAGAAGGATGAATACGTTCACCTCGAAAGCACAGCCAGAATGCTCCTTAGACAGGAGGGCTGTGACAGTCCACCTCGCATGCTTTGGACATGGTATCCCTGCAGGGTATCATGCTGGTCAAGATCAAAAAGGGGGAAAGATCCTCACCAGGACGGGTGGGCACGGTGGCAGCAACATGAGCACATGCATGCCACTGACTACAGGACGGTATGGGCCCAGTCAGTGTTTCGTTCTGTCGTGTGTGGGGTCACAGCGTAAGTCGGTGCTAACACAGAGTACCTTACAGCAATAAAGCAGGTATAGTTTGTGTGGAGAGGAGGAGACTAAAGCTTAGGGGCTAATCTGCCCTTACACCCAGGACTCCTAATTCTCAACCTTTTCCCCACTACAGTTTACTCATTCTCGCCACTGCCATCCAAGTCAGAATCCACGCATAGTTGACCAGCCAGCAGGTCTGCTGAGGCTGTAAACTGCGCAGGAGTACAATGTCCAACTTTTTCCCCATGGAGCAGCTGGTGGATTTGAACTGCCCACCTTTGGGTCGGTGGTGCAGTTTCCTACTGACCAAATCATGAGAGCTCGCCACAGCCCACTAGAATTAAGAAAAGGTGAGGAAAAGCCTACCACACCCACAGATTTAATCTTAAGAACATGGCAGTTACTTAATATTTAGGATTGAATCGACAAGGTTAGAAAATGCATTGAATTGGGTATGTATTAATCATTTTTATCTTCACATGAGAATTTTTATTTTTTTTTAATTCAGGTAAACTGCAACAACAGCTTAAAGAGCTCTGGAAAGAATGCTGTTTGTTGTTGTGTACCGTAGAGTCAGAACTGACTTATCACTGACCCTCTGGCAGGTTTTCAGAGGCAGTTAATCACACAGGAGGAGACTGCCCATCCTTGTCCTGTGGAGCAGCTGGTGGCCTCGAACCACGTGCCTTTGGGACTGCAGTGCAGCTCCTCCTGTAAACAGGACTTCCCAAATATACAGGTAGAAATTAAGTTTTTTGTGGACTTTAAGTATACCTTCCAGAAGGATGGCAAATTTTTCCTTCTTGGGAATATTTCCAGCTATAATCACTTACTTTTCAATCAGTTCAAATGCACAAACAAAAAATTCTCTGTGGAGAATGAACTCTCAGATGGATCCAACTCTCAACCCAATCACCTTGTGTGAAACGACAAGGAGAGAGGGGTGGTCACCTGCCTGCACTGTATACATGCAGTGTAATTACGTCTGTGAACTGCAGCCGACTTAACTCGCTCCTCTAAGTTGCTTCCGCAGCGCACAAGTGCACAATAAAGACCGTCAGTGCTGTTGGAGAGGACGTCCACAGAAGCACGCCCAAATGCAGTGATGACATGCGCCTGGGTGGAGATTAGTGCTCATAAGAGATCTAAAAAAAGACTTCCACCTCACTTTACACACAGACACGAGGAATGCCAGCACCAGAAGGAATGCTGACAATCACCTGGCTGCTGGCGTGAGCTGTCCAGTCAGTTCTGATTCACGGCAATGTCGCGTGGCAGAAAACACCTGCCCCGTGTGGTTTTCTAGCCTTCAATCGTCATCAAAGAAGACTGCCAGGTGTGTCTCCTTAGAGCCACTGGTGGGTGAGAAGCACTGACCTTCTGGATAGCGGCCAAGTGCTTAACGATTCTGCTGCGAGGGCACCTACGGAAACAGTGAGGTGCCTACGCTCTTATGGCCCCTGGTCACCTTTTCCCCTCACATTCTCTCCCGTACAGAGTGGTATTTTCCAGAAATCCCATATGTGACCCCAACACACTGACCTCAGGAGCAGATAAGGGAATTGAGTTGGACATTTGAGAGATATGAAAAGAGGAGACAATGCCACTCTTCACATTAAATTTTCATTTGTAACAGTCATGTGCTATAAATAACATTACTTATTTTAATGGGTAATGGTTTAATATTGTTATATTTAGACAAATTAATGAACCAGCTTATTTTTCAACTACTATTTTCATTTCTAATAAATATTGTTAACTATAAGCCATAAGTCGTCATAATGTTTCCCGAGCAAAGGTGATGCATCCTGTAGAACTGGTGTGTAGCTAGGTTTTTCTTGGCCCAAGGGCTGCAGAACGAATGCCGCACAGTTTGGCGTCTTCAGTGTTACCTGGGAAGATGGGTAGGGAGTGTGATGGACCCTTTAGGTGCCCAGCTTTCTGATGTTAGATGGATCTTAGCTGAAAGCAGAGAATACCAGAGGAATGTCTATCTGTGTTTCATTGACTATGCAAAGGCATTTGACTGTGTGGATCATAACAAACTGTGGCTGACTCTGAGAAGAATGGGAATCCCAGAACACTTGATCGTGCTAATGAAAAACCTATACTTGGACCAGGAGGCAGTAGTCAGAACAGGGCAAGGGAACACTGCATGGTTCAAAATTGGGAAGGGCGCACTCCAGGGATGCATCCTACCTCCATACCTTTTCAACCTATATGCAGAACAGATTATCCAGGAGGCTGGGCTCTATGAGGAGAAATGTGGGGTCAAGATTGGTGGACGATTTATCAACAATCTGCGTTATGCGGATGACACAACCCTGCTTACTGAAACTGAGGAGGACCTGAAGCACCTGCTGCAGAGTGTCAAGGACTGCAGCCTACAATATGGATTGAGGCTCAATGTCAAGAAGACAAAGATTCTCACCACTGGACCAATTGGCAGCATCAGGATGGATGGTGAAGAGATTGAGATTGTACACAGCTTTAGTTTGCTTGGCTCCACAGTCAACACTCTTGGCACCAGGAGCCAGGAAATTAAAAGGTGCACTGCCATGGGAAAGTCTGCTATTAGGGACCTCTCCAAAGTACTGAAAATCAGTGGTGTCTCTCTGGAGACTAAGGTGCATTTGATACAGGCCATGGTCTTCGCAATCACTTGTTATGCATCAGAGAATTGGACAATGACCAAAGAGGACAGAAGGAGAATTGATGCCTTTGAGCTGTGGTGCTGGAGAAGAGTATTGAGAATACCATGGACTGCTAGGAAAACAAACAGATTTGTCCTGGAAAGGGTTAAACCGGGTGACTCCTTGGAGGCAAGGATTCTGAGGCTCCGTCTAACATACTTTGGACATGTTGTGAGGAGAGACCAGTCCTTGGAGAAGGACACCATGCTTGGGAAGGTGGAGGGACGGCACAGGAGGGGAAGACCCTCTATGAGGTGGATTGATTCAGTGACTGGGATAATCGGTATGGGAGTATCGGAGACAGTGCGATTGGCACAGGACAGAGCAGAGTTTAGGGCTGATGTACATAGGGTCGCTATGAGTCGCAAGCGACTTGACGGCACATAAGAACAATAACATAAGCAAAGATGAGTCCTTACTATTTTAAGAGCATGAAGGTTGCAGGACCAGAATGTCTGAGGACCACTACCCCACACAATCTGCACTGGCTGATTATGTGGGAAAAGGAAGGTAACCCCAATTATCCCCACTTTCAGGGTCATGTAATATCACACCATTTTAGTACACATCTCGGTTAACTTACGAGAAGGAAATCTTACATTTTAAAATTTTTTCTTCAGCTTCTTTCAGGTGTGATGTAGATGTTGGGCACCATGTGGGAAGCCAACCAGTTAGCCATCCTGACCTAGGGCATCAAAAACAAAATACAAATTAGGTGAGCGAGTGCTTTTCCCAGCTGTGCTGGTGTAACTGTAACGTGCAGGGTGCTGTGTGGCTAACCCGGAGGCTGTGCGTCTCTCAGTTCAAATCCACCAACTGCACTACGGGAGAAAGATGCCAGTCTCCTTCTGTGCAGCTTACAGCCCCGGAAACTCACTGGAGTGCCAGCTATGAGTTGGTCCTACCTTCACAGAAATGGGAGGCTTTTTTAGTTACTTATGGAGGAAGGAAGCAGAACCTCCTGGCTGTGAGATGCTGACGATACGTGTGACAGAGGGCGCTTGTGCCGCTACAAAGCACTGTGCTAGGAACTGGGATACAGACACTTGACTAGAATTTTAATAGCTTCCAAAATGTATCAGACATATCACAATGTACCTTATCTTCAGCGATGTTTCTTTTAGTTGTCATGGAGTTAGATAGGAAAAGGGAGATATTACAAACAAAAATGACAGGACAGAAAAGGGGAGGATGGATGCATTTCTCATTCAAAGTCCACAGCAAAATAACCTTAAAACAGCATAGAAGTGTTAAAAAAAAAAGAGGTAATGAATAGGCTCATTAACAGCAAAAAGGTGCCTGCAGAATGAAAGAGAGATACTCGGGTGTGTGGGTGTGTGTGTGTGTGTGTGTGTGTGTGTGTGTGTTGTGTGTGTGTGTGTGTGCACACGTCTTGAAATCTCATAGAAAAGTGCTGAAACATGCCTTACACACAGGATGGCATATATTTTATCTGCTTAAACTGAATGGATTAACTTTTAATGAGAAACTTTTTTTTAAAAAAAAAAGCTTTGGATTCCAGTAAACAATTGAAGAAAAGAATGACGCAAGCATCTATCTGAAGTCAGGTGAACAGAGAGAACAAGGAAGTAGGGCTGAAGCAACAGAGGTGGAGGCAGGGACAGAAGAAAGAAAGAAAAATCCCAGAAAGAAATCCATTCACCTACAATCGAAAGATCTTTGACAAAGAAATGAAATCCGTTAAGTGGAGAGAAGAACCTCCTCTAACAAATGGTGCTGGAAAAACTAGATCTCCTTTGCAGAAAACTGAAACAAGACCTATACCTCACACCATATACAGAAACTAACTCCAGCAGGTGAGGAGACCGGTGCATCTATGCACAGCTGTAGGGGACTGTAAGAGGGTACACTTACCGTGGAAAGCAGTATGGCATATCTTTAGAAAGGTAGGAATAGAAATACCATTTACTGTTCATTATGTTCATTAAAGCTAATAAAATTTAATAATAATTAAAAAAAAGGAAAAAAACTGAAAAAAAAAAAAAGAAATACCATTTATTTGGTTCAGCAATTCCACTACTGAGTATATATCACAAAGAAACAAGAGCTGTGACACAAGTTCACTCAGACACACACACGTTTAACATTATTTACAAAAGCAAAGAGCTGGAAACAACCCAAGTGTTCACCCATAGACAAATGGCCTAAGAAGCCATGGTACAGTCACACAATGGAGTATTATGCATTACCAAAAGACAATCAAGAGTTCATTCAATACTGCACAAGAAGGATGAATCTTAAAAAAAACTGTGCTCAATGACATAAGTCAGGCACAGAAAGGCAATTATGGTGTAAGACCACTAATATAAAAAGTTAGGTAAAGATTTACACATAGGTAAACTCAATCTTGGAGGGCTAACAGGGATTAGAAAGGAGAGAGAAAGGAGTAAAAATTAATATATAAGTTGGTTGAACGGAAAGGTACTATGTAGTAAGAGTTGGATTGAACATTGTAATAAATTACATTTTTTTTAAAAAGAAAATATCGTTGCTTCATGGACACCCCTGCTCTCTAGCACCTTGGAGAGGTCCCTGACAGGTGATTTTCCTGATAGGTCTTTTGTCTTCTTGACTGCTGCTACTATGGGTGTTGACTGTGGATCAATGTAGAAAGAAACTGTTGACAACGTCAATCTTTTCCCCATCTCTCATGATGATGACTATTGGTAGAGTGGTGAGGATTTCTTTTTTCCTTGATGTTAAGATGTAATCTATATTGAAGGCTGTTGTCTTTGATCTTCCTCCGTGTTTCAAATTTTCTTCACTTTCTGAAGGCAAGTTTGTATCATCTGTATCATCTAGGCTGTTGATGAGTTTTTCTTCAATCCTAAAACCTCCTTCTTCTTTACGGTCGTTTCTCAAATTATATGCTCAGCATACATATCAAATAGGTATGGGGAATAGATACATCCCTTATGCACACCTTTCCTGATTTTAAATCATGTAATTTCCCTAGTGATAGCATCCACACACATAAGAGAAAAACTTGTCATTGTAATTATTTTTCAAATTTACACATCAACCACTAACTTCTGCAGTCTGCAACTGATCAAGCATGTCATCAAAATGCATTAATAATAGCTGGTGACTGGAATGCAGAAGTTGGAAACAAAGAAGTATCAGTAGCTGGTAAATATGGCCCTGAAGACAGAAAACAAATCAATTGTACATTAAGTGACACAGTTTTGCATAACCAAGGGCTTAGTTATTGCAAATACCTTTAAGTAAATAAACAGCAACTAATACACCCTTATCTGATGGAATACACAGGAAATAGCATAGTGAGAATAAGGTAAAGTGCCAACTGTGGGACAGATCATCAATTGTTCATAAGCACACTTGAATTTAAGGTTAAGAAAATGAAAACAAAAAGATGGAGCCCTTGGGTAGATCTCAGCTGGATTTTGAGACCCTTTTAAGATTAGTATGCAGCAATGAACACTAATACTAAAGACCAGAAAAGTTATAAGGTGACATAAATGGCATCATACAAAAAGAAAACAAAAGGTTACCAAAAAAAAAAAAAAGACCAAAATGGATGTCAGAGGAGACTCTGAAGCTAGCCCCAGAATGCAGAGAAGTCAAAGAGAAAGGAAAAAATTATGAAAAAAGATTTGAAACGGTAGCCTGAGAAGACAAATTATGAAAAAATTATGAAAAAAGATTTGAAACGGTAGCCTGAGAAGACAAATCAAAGTATTATAATTAAATGTACAAAGACCTGGAGTTAGAAAGCCAAAAGAGAACACCACGTGTGACATTTTCAAGTTGAAAGAACTGAAGGAAAAAAATCCAATCTACCAGTAGCAATACTGAAAGATTACATGGAGAAAATCCTGAATGGCACAGGAAATGTCAAAAGAAGATGGAAAGAGCATACAGAGTCACTGACTAGCACAAATTAGTGTCAACAATATCACAAAGAAGCCTATGATCAAGAAACAACAGTACTGAAGCTTTCAGGCAAGTCCAAGAAGCACTGAAGGAACTGGCAAAAAATTAGGCTCCAGGAATTGACGAGAAAGTCACTGAGGTGGAGTTCTAGATGCATTTACCCATTTGTGCCAAAAAAATTGGAAGACATGGCTAAAGGGCTAGAAGAGATCCTTATCTGTGCTCATTCCCCAAAAAGATATCCAACAGATTATGGAAATTATCAAATAATATATTAAGTCTTGCTGAAGACAACATAAAAATGGTACATCGATCTGCCAGAAATTTGAACTGCATTCAAAAGAAGATATAGAACAAGAGATATCACTGCTGACATCAGATGGATTTTGGCTGAAAGCAGAGGATACCACAAAGTTGTTTACTTGAGTTTTATTTTACAAAAGCATTCAACTGTGTGCATGATAAATTATGGATGACACTGAGAAGAGGAGAATTCTAGAACACTTAATTGTGCTCATGTAGAACCTCTGATAGTCCAAGAAGCAATTGTTTGAACAGAGCCAAGGTGGTACTTCATGGCTTAAAATCGAGAAAGGAATACATCAGGGTTTCTGCCTTCGGTGCCACTACGAATGGCAGGGAATAGGGAAAATAAAAACAAGTGCTGCTTAGAGAAACACGGTGGGTGTGGAAGCACTGATCCTGTATCCAACTTTTCTCCCAGTTTTGTATGCTCCTACTAATTTCTCATCCTTATGTACAATAGGTGTTCAATAAATAACATCTGCTGCAAGATCAAGTCATTCATCATAAAGGGTATCCCAGTCCAAGTTATCTACACTTCATACAGGTAAAAGCTAAGGTGCAGAAATGTTAACCACCAGTATCCAAGATACACAACTAGTTAGTAAATCACACAGAGACTTGAGTTCATTTTTAATGACTATAAAGTCATTTTTTCCCAGGTAACTAACTTCCTTATAAAAACTTGTAGAATTCCTCATTATCTACCTGGAATAAAACTTGAATCCTTCAGACCTTTCCAGAAAGGTCTTCTCCCTTCCTATCTGGCCTCCTGCATCAGGACCTCAAAGGTTCCAAAATGCTATACTACTTTATGCCACAATGACTTTGTACAAGTTTTCCTCTACCCAGGATGCCTTGCTTCTCCTCTTTGCAGATACTATCATTGACCTTAATGTCAAAGATGGAGGTTATTAGAGTACTACTTTAAACTCTTTGTTACAGATACAGATATTGCTATGGTTGTTTGCTCACACTTGTACCTGCTTGCAGCACTGCTTGATGCATCTCTATAGTGCCATGGTCACACCCTCTGCGCTAAACATGTTAACTGGCTGGTGGCCATAAGAGTTCATCACTGTTTAAAGAAGTGAACTGAAGGCCTTGGCCATAAGAAATAGCAGGAGCCAGAGGAAAGCAGATGGAACTCATTTCTCAAAGGAGACAGGGCAAGGCAAGGACTCAAACCTTGTTCCTTGCTCTCCCAATAAAAAAAAATAAAATGAAAATGTTAGTGGCAAAAAGCTGCACTGTATTCCCAAAAGCAAAAGTTTCAAATCCCATCAGCTGCTCCGTGGGAGGATAGACAATCTCCTCCTATTCAATTAACTGCCTCTGAAAACCCTCCAGAGGGTCAGCTATGGGTCGGCTGCAACTTGATGGTACATAACAACAATGCTGATACTGTGAGGTAAATCAGAAAGAATGAATTGAACAAAGAACGACTGAACAAACATAGTAAGGACA